AGACTTGCATGCAATCCTTTGGGTCAAATCATATTTAATAAGGCGAAAGATTTTTTACCAGGACTTTGAAATAATTGAGTCATTGTTATTGAGTCTTTGTTATTTGAAATAATTGAGTCATTGTTATTGAGTTTGAAATAGTTGAGTCATTGTTGTTGAGTTATTGCAGATGTTGGAAAAGAAATCTATATCCATATGCAAGCAAAATAATATATATATTTTACAGGTTGATAGTGTTGGATTTAGTATAGGTGTTTGGGAGTGAACTGATTTACCCACGCCACTTTGAATGCTAGACTGGCGCCCCATTAAACATTTACTAAGTTGTTCTTCTCCTCCTCCCTCACTCTCTTACAAATTAAATATTAGTATTCAAGGATGAATTTTTGGATAAAAAAGCATTTTTTTCAAAATATAAATTATAAAGGCTTTGAAACAAAAAATTATGATTTTTTTCTTTTTTTTATGGTCTGGTTTATTTTTGTTTCATTTTTAGCTTGTGCCCGAAAAAAAAACATGGCAACCCTGGTACGAAGCCTTTGTAAAATATTTAACTATCATCTATTAGGCTGTTGTAGCCTGATGCCTATGTTAACCTATGTTGATTGTTTCCTGCCTAGGATGATGAATGCCAGATCTTCTTGACTCTACTAATAGATTTTTGCTTGTGCTTCCTTGATAGTGGCTATGCAACTCTCCCTGTTATCTTCTAATGAAGGTACAGCTCTAAAATCATTAACAGCTGTAAAAAAAAACTCTCAGAGATACTGATACCATAAACAGCTGTAAAATATCAGAGTATTAACAGTGCCATGTTGAGCATGGATGGTGTTTCTGTTAGTGCTTTTGGAGCGAATTATTAAAACTACATAAGGAGCCCTTAGTTATGTCTTAAGGTTAGTTAGCAGACGGATTCAACTGCATAGCTCATTGCTTGGGTGTCATGCGCTATGATTGAGAAATTGTTTAATCGCCTAACCAATTTTTTATGTGTTTTCGCTTAGCAACTTTTCACTAAATTCCCTTTCTCTTTGTTTTCTTCTCAAGACTGCACTACTTTAGCTGCAAATTCTGAATATATAAACAAAGACATTTTCTTTATTCCCTCTCCCCATATTGTTGTTAACTTAAATGATCATCACACTGAATGGTTTCCCTTTGATACAAGATCATAATTGATGTATTTATCAATCCTTTACTTACTATCACAATACCTTTTTTATTGATGAATGGCAACCCTCTCACTAAGTAGGGTGTGTAGATTTTTTTCAATTTCAGAATAGAAAGGTTAATTTTGGTGAAGAGTTTGATGGGGATTTTGAATCTGTAAATCAAAATTTAAAAAAGTGATGTTTTGCATGAGGGTTCTGCATTGCTTTAAATAGAAAAATGACTAAAATATGACTTATCAATAGAGAAAAATTATAACAACAACAACAACAACAAAAACATTTTTTGGTAAAATTTTGGATTAACTCAAATAACTATTATGTTAAACTTTTAAAAAAATTTGGTAAAAAAAACCCAAATAAAATGATCAAATATTTTAGACAGAATATAAAGCTGTGTTGTTTTATTGTGTTTTTTAAGAACAAGAGAAATTCATTTTTGTAAAGAATTTTTAAGGGATTATGAATTTTGAAAAAAAAAAAAAAAAAAAAAAAAAAAAAATTGATAAAAAAATGTCTAGCTTTGAAGATTGGAATCATTTTCAATTAGGAAAAAAATAACTTTAAAAAAAATATATCTTTTGATTAAATTTCTTATAGCTTCATTATTTGGTTAGTAGAATTAAAAAAGCTTTATATTTAGTTAAAAAAAATTATAAAAATAGCTCTTAATGTAAATTTTATTAAAAGCTGATTTTTAAAATTTGTTCTAAAAATAACCTTCTCTTCATGTGTTTATTTTTATGTGTTTTCTTTATCAAATAATTTTTTTTTTTTAATTCAACATAATAAATATTGAGTTAAAAAAAAATTTAAAAGAAATTTTTTTATTTATAAATTACCTCTTTGATTCGACATTTTCATTTTAGTCAGTTTCCTGTTATAAAACTAAGTGTTCCTCCAAGTCACATTTTTGTTTTTAATTTTCAAATTTGCAAATTCCTTAGGAATTTTATGGTATTTGCCATTCTCCACACAAATTAACTCTCTTTATTTTTAAAACTTGTAAAAAAAAAGAAAAAAAAGGTGCATATTCTGTTTAAAATATGAAAAAAGACCTTAATATAATCTAAAAAAACCTTCAATAAAACTTGATGTGGTCATTTTTATGACTTTTGATAAAGTATAATTTTTTCTTTAGGTGCAAACTTTCTTCTTTGATTAGTCATTTTTTAGTTATTTTGCTGTTCAAAACTAATTGTGCCCCCCCCCCCCCCCAGTAAGACATCCTTTTGACCTTTTTTTTTTTTTTTTGCAAATTCAGATTCTTCATAAAATTCTCCATAAAAATGAATTCACCATTATTTGTTTAAAACTTAATAAAAACAGGAAAAAACTTGGCAACATATCGTTACATTCTCTTTCTAAAATATGATTTTTTTTTTGTAAAAATACCCTTTAAAATTCATTTTATGTTATTTTAATTTTTATTTGCCTAAATATGTTTTTCTTCATATTCAATTATTGAGTTAATCAGAAATTATATAAAAAAATATTTTTGTTTTAAATATAACTTTTCCCTATTAATTAGTGATATTTTAGTCATTTTTTGCTCAAAATTTTTTTTCCACAGATTTGGAATTCCCATGAAATTCTTTACCAAAACTAATAATGTCAAGCTATAACTAATATAATGTTAATATATCTCAAGCTATAAATATTATAACGTTAATATATGTCAAGCTATAAATATTATAACGTTAATATATGTCAAGCTATATTGTAATGTTAATATATGTCCGGCTATAAATGTCATAATATTAATATATGTCAAACTATGAATATAATAATGTTAATATATGCCAAGCTATAAATATTGTATTGTTAATTTATGTCAAGCTATAACTATTATATATTAATATATGTCTAGCTATAAATGCCATAATATTAATATATGTCAAGCTATAACTATTATGATGTTAATATATGTCAAGCTATAAATGCCATAAAATTAATATATGTCAAGCTATAACTATTATGATGTTAATATATGTCAAGCTATAAATGCCATAATATTAATATATGTCAAGCTATAAAAATAATAAGGTTAATATATGTGAAGCTGTAGTTCATTAAATGCATAACTCACTAGCTTTATTTTTGAGTTCTACAACAAAACAAGTATGAATATAAAATTTACACAAGCAAGCACAAATTAAAAATCTATTTTTTTTTAAGTTTTAACATTAAAGAAAACTTTGTTTTCTAAAAAATAACTTTGAAAAACCTTTAAAATAAAAAAAAATTTGATGATAAGATGTCATTGCTGTGATTATAAATCTATAATTTAAAAAAATAGAATTATAATCACTGTAATTCATAAAATAAACTTAAGTTTAGTTGAATTATTTCTTTTACCTTACTTTAAACCTTACTTTTACCTTATATTAAAGAGTTTATAAATTTCAAATTATTTTTAAAATCTAAAATAAGAATAAAAAGATCTAAGACATTTTGTAGGTTTTAATTTAACCTACATTTTATAGGTTAAATTTTAAAGAATATTCTCACACTTTATTAACTTCAGTAAAGATGAAACAAATCATTGATTTTAAAATTGCTGTTCAAACATTGAATTGTGATTTTTATCTTAGATATCTTGATGAGTTTATTTAAATGCATTAAAATGAACTCAAAAAAAAATTTATAATCTCATAATGATACATATGTTGACTTTAATTCGCTTGTTTTAAAGTGTTATGATGCATGCATATTATTGCCATGATGAATGCATTAAAGGTATTTTACTACAGGTAGTAAAATAACTTAAATGCTTAACTTACATCTAAATGAACGCATCATGGACTTTTGGCAATTTAAATGCATCATGTACTTTTAGTTATTAAAAACTTTGTAATACTAGATATCACATTTAAAATTTAAACAAGCCCAAAAATAATTACAAAAAACTATGTAAAAGAATGAATTAACATTATAAAAAATATTGTTATAAAAGTTTGAATGACAAGAACATAAAAGATATTCATCATTTACAAATAAATAAGAATAAATTTAAAAAAAGAAAAATTATTTTATTAACTTTTAATAATATTAAACTAAATGAAGTAAAAATTACACAAGAAATGTTGCTTTTTTAAACATAAGATTTTATAAACAATAAAGGATTGTATCAAATGTTGAGAAAAGTAACTATTCTAAAATTTGAAACAGAAAGCAATAACAAGCAATAGTAAACATGGTAGTTTGGCACTAAAGACAACATTTTTTGAGAGAATTCTTGTTCTCAACCCCTAAATTCTTATAATTATAATATTAAAATTCTATATAAAAATACTAATAACCTATATAATATAATAATACCTAACTTCAATATAATAAAATAATACTTGGTTAAAAATTTTAAGAATAAAATTTTTTTTGAGGGGTTGCTCAAGACCCTTAAATGTCAGAAAGGTCCTTAATATTATATAAAAAAAAGTTTTTCAAAAGTATAGTGTTGGGTTTAAAAGAAGTGAAATTATATAAAATCATAAAAAAAAAATTTATCATTTTATAAAATTTTTTTATAAAAAAACATTGAGAAAAAATTATAATCAAAATTATAAAAAAAAAAATTCATTTTAATTAAAAAAATACAATTTTTTTTAGGTAGTAAAATCTAAAGTTTAAGGTAGTAAAATCTAAAATAATAATTTTTTTAATATAAAGATGATTGTTTTTGAAATTTTTTGAAAATTATGTAAATTTTGGCAGTTCAAAAAAAGTAAGGTCCACAAATACGAAAAGCAAATAAAAAGAATTTATGATCTTTCATATCCTACATTAACTTTAAAATATAAGATATAACTTACAATAACTTTAGAAACTAACCTTTAAAGAATTTAAAAACTCATCAGAGCCTTTTACATCTATTTCAGAAATGCTCTCAAACCCCTGAAGCATTCCATCAACTGAAGGATCTTGTTTCTAGAAAATTAAATAAATAATATATATATATATATATATATATATTATAAAATATATATATATATATATATATATATAAATATATATATATACACACACACACACACACATATATATATTATAATATATATATATATATATATATATATATATATATATATATATATATATATATATATATATATATATATATATATATATATATATATATATACACACACACACACATATATATATATGTATATATATATATATATATATATATATATATATATATATATATATATATATATATATATATATATATATATATATATATATATATATATATGTCCCTGTTTGTACTTTTGGTGTGCATTGTTTAGGCCATATTTGGAGTCCTTTGTCACAGCTTAGGGTTTAAAACCATTATTATTATCATTATTATTACTAAAATGATATTTATACAGGATATACATTTTTTTAGTTATAAAAACTGTTACCAACATATATCCTGTTCAAAAACTAAAACTTAAAACAGAAATTATAATTATCCAAAAGTAACAAAAAGTATTAAAAGTATTAAAATTAGTAAAGTGTATGTCAATGCTGCTTTAAAAAAAAGTGGTTGTTGTTTTAAACAATGTTAGTTCTGCCGTATTTCTAATGTCCGAAGGTAAAAAGTTTTGCTAAGTAAAAAGATTTTTTTATATAATAAAACTCATAGCCAAATTCCGTGGAGGTTCTCAGAGAGGCTGATTCCATCAACAGCTGTAAAATATAATGGATGGTGTCCCTGTTCATACTTTTAGTGTGCATTATTTGGAGCCCTTTGTTACTGCTTAGGGTTTGTTAATAGTAAGGAGGGTTTTGCTTGGACTATTAGATTTATTGAGTACAATCTGTGCTTTGAGTCAAGTTCTTTAACCAATTTAAAAAAAAATCAAAAACTATAAAACACAAAAAACCATCATTATCACCAAGTTTTATAAATCTATCATTCACTAAAACTCGTGGTTTTTAAAGTAAGTATTTTTTCTATTGAGTCTTATCTCTTGCAAAATTCACCAGACCTTCTTGCTCTTTGTGAGACTTACTTGAGCTTAGCTGTTTCATCTTTTAATTTTAGTGTCGATTGTTATCTATCTTTAATTCATAAAGACTCTAATAGTCATATGTGGAGTTGCAAAGCAGACTTTGGCGTTTTTTAGAGTAAAAAAAAAAACGGGTTTTTTAAAAATATTTATGGTGTTATTTTGTTTTTTATGGTGTTTTTCTGCTTTTTTTAAGCAATTTTTAGTTTTTCTTGGCATAAATTTTGGAATAGTTTTTTTTATATTCTAGTATATTTTTAGTACATGATCATTAAAAGCACAATTACATGTATAAACACCAATTCAACTTATGTTTTTAATAAAAAATTAAATTAGCTATAAGTTAGTTTTATATCTAGGCTTACTGTATAGAAATGTTTATTTGTATTTCCTAACAACTGTGATATAAAGGACTTTTTTTAGAAATTAACAATTGTGCCCCCCACTTCGAAACCCCTGTTGCCTGCCATGTTTTATAAGGAATTTTTTTCTTATTATATGATTTACTTATCTAGACATTTTTATATAGTACTACATATTGAACTTTTTTAACATGCTTCGTTGTTCAAGTTAAATTTCTAGACATAGTGTTATGGCAAAAGGAACATATAGCTTTTTCAATTTCGCTAATTTGGTTCACAGGTTTAAACAAATGAGTAATTAAGGTTTTATTTCTGCCCTCTGTATGGAGAGCTTAATCACAATTGATTACCAACAAAAAGAACAATAAGAAATCACTCAATAATATAAACACATCCTTTCTCTCTTTATATATATGTATGCAAATATAGATATTATGGTGCTCTAAAATTCTTTTATATAGAAAATCACAATTCATTATTTTTAATGTGTTTTTCTTCGTTTTTTTGTGTTAATTCTTTTTTAGATTCGATTGGAGAAAAACTACAGCTTTTATATCAAAAATAAAAAAAAGTTTTTTGATTTTTTTACAATTTTTTGGGCTTTATATAAAATTTCCCTATATTTAAGTACAAGTTGATCTATTTTCAAAAAAATTTAAAATATATAAAACTTATGAAAAAGTTTGACATGCTGGTCTTCTCCATAAGGATGCTTTATATGTAGTAAACAGCCGGAGTTGATATTTGACCGGGGCTGGGCAGGGTTTGATAAAATATAGTTGGGGTTGGGGTCGAGCTTGTGAACGGGGCTGCATAAACATTTATAGATCCTAAAGTATATTTTTTTAATTCAAAATTCATGTTATATTTTGTGTATTTATGTATATATAAACATCATTTGATCAATATGATCATGATCATGATCATGATCATGATCATCATCATCATCATCATCATCATCACCATCAACTTCCCTTTTGGCAAATACTACACTCTATAAATACTAAATTTTATATAAATATTGTATGCCAGCATCTAAATAAATAGCAAACATATATGTTTATGCCCATAATATGTATGCATAAAGCGCATCTCAGAAGCTTTTATTCCTTCTGGACTAAAAGTTTGAAAGCTTTTATTCCTACTCTTCAATTTTACACACCTCATTCTACTCCATATTTTTCACCATCTTGAGCAGTTGCTTTAATGATCATTTATTTTATCTTTTTTTACAAGAACATCTTAATAATCTATCTTAATATAAGATGCAAAAACGCATTGTAAACATAGTTGGGCCTGCTCTTGCAGCCAACCTTCAACCTCTGTCACATCGTCATAATGTTGCTTCTCTTTCTCTTTTCTACAAATACTTTAATGGGCACTGCTCTAAAGAGCTAGCATCTCTTGTGCCATATACTAAAAACCATTCTCGTGTTACTCGTCATTCAATTAAGTCTCATACTTTTTCTGTTACTGTTCCTAAGTGCTCCAAAAACTTTTATTCGTCTAGTTGTTTTTCTCGAACATCAGTTCTTTGGAATTCGCTTCCTTCATCTTGCTTTCCTGATTCATATAATTTGCAATCTTTTAAGTCGTCTGTCAATCATTATCTTGCTCTACAATCTTCATCTTTTCTCTTCTAGTAACTTCCAACATTAATTAGTGGTTGCTTGCAGCCTTGTTGGAAGCGAAGATAAATAAATAAATAAAAAAAAAGAAAAAAAAAGAACAAATGTCCTTTTATTATTCCAAGAAGCCAATGTAAAAAGGTCCCCTCTGATGTTAAGCTCTGTTATTCTCAGTTTACTAAATCTTGTATCTTATATCAGATGTTAGGTTCTAGAGACTTTTGGTTAGTCTTCAACAATGTCATAAATTAAAGTAAGTGTAACATTTAATCTTATTAATTATATAATATTTATTAATATTTAATTTTCAAAAAGTGCTAAATAAGTGGTTCCAAATTTTCAAAACTCTAGAAAACACTTTGACCTCTTTTTGACTACCCTATGATTAGTCTTAACTCTGTTAATAGTTTCTTTATATGAGATTATTAAACTATTTCTTAATAACTGCAGTAATAAAGTTATTCTTAAAGGCCTACACTATTCTTTATTTCAAGTAACTTTAAGGGTACCACAACGTATCTTGTGGTGTCCTTAAATCTTTGCTCCTGTGTTGTTTCTTATCTATAATATCAATTTTCATAAAAATTTAACATCTACCATAGCTCTATTTGTTGACGACTTATCTTTATACTCTTTTCTTGACAAAAAATTTTCACTTTTTGATTGCTTAGAACAAGAAGTTGATTTTTAATCTGATCTCTTCTGTAACAGCCTAAGGCTTGCTGCAGTTTATGGATTTAAATTAAAGACTTGAAATCTACAATTTATGTTAGACAACAAAACTTATTTATTTACTGCAAATAAATATTGCAATACTGTTGGTATTCCTATATTGATAAATAACAACCCTCTTACTCTCAGACAAAGTCTAAAAGCACATTGTAAATGTTATGCGGTCGTGGTGTAGTGGTAGAGCACTTGCATTATAAGCAAGAGGTACAAAGTTCGATCCCCACCACGTCCCTGGTAGTACAGCGCTCAACTTGTTTCTCTGCGCAGCAGCCTTGGTTGTCAAGGTTGGAGTTTCAGAGTTATATAGTTGAGAGGGTTATAACCACAATTAAGTAGTCTACTTGTCTGTAGTTTTCAGCCTTGGGAAGGTGAATTAACATAAAATAAAATAATAATAAATTAGACCTGCTTTATCTGCCAAGCTTGAACCACTCTCCCATTGTTGTAAGGTTGCATTTCTTTCGTTTTTCTACAAATGGTAAATGCTCAAACAGGCTATTATCTCTATTATGATAAGCCAAAGTTCATTCTTTCTTACTTCTTATTCAACAAGTTGCACCCATTTACTTTATCTGTCGCTTCATGCTATAAAAACTTTAATTAATCCAGTTTTTTTCCTTGTATATCAAAAAACCTTATAATTATTAGCCATCTTCATATTTTTCTTTTATATACAACCTACAACTTTTTAACTCTTTAGTATCTTAGTATTTTTACTTATTCTCTATTTTAATGTAACTCATAACTTAATAGTGGTTGCTTGTAATATATAAATATATGCCAGTATTTAAAAATTTGTTAATGTAAGCATAAAATTATAATATATAAAGTATTATAAATTTTTTTCTAGCCCCGGCTATCAAACCCTACTAAATCTTATAGTTTAGGCTGGGTTTGAAAAAAATCTAATTTTTAGCCAGGGCCTCACTTTTTATTTGTATGGTGTATCTGGGAAAGTTTTTGAGATTATCAAATTGTTTCTTTCTAACGGCTTTAAAGTCATCCTCGAAGGTCAACACTATTTTTCATTTCCATTAACTTCTGGGGTACCTTAAGGTTCTATCCTTGGTTATTTTTTGTTTCTTATCTACAATAATGATCTTCTAGACAACCTTATATCTAAAGTAATTTTTTTTATTGTTAACTCTACTTAATACTATTTACATTCTTAGATTAGTAAATGGCAACCCTTTCACTGAGTCCTC